AAAACAATCTTAATATGTATTGGGGAACAATACAGTTTCAAGGAAGAGTCTCTTTTAGAAGACAGCCTTTATAAAGATCACCACATTCAAGAAACAGGGATTCAAAGGCACAAGCAAAAAGAATAAGGAATGGGAAAAACAAAGAGTCACAACCAGCTGACTGGCTGCAAACACTGTTTGTTTATGTTATGCACAGCAGATGTTCTGTCTGATCAAGTTACATGATCCACAACACATAAAAATCTAAATGGAAATCAACAAAACATGAAGGAAATATATAAAAGACACAATGTACACTGCAGCACATACCTTTCAGTCCCTCCGCTCTGCTCTGCACTCACTGAGCTCCAGCAACCTTTGAACTTAGAGGAAAGTTGTATCAGGAAAGAACGACAGCTGTATTGCACAACCTGCAGGCAGTCAAAATACATTCCAGCTGTTAACCATTCACACCATTAACACTGTTTAATTTAATAATTTAATTAAACTCCTTTGAATAATGTTACCGACTATGTGTGGTCTCCCTCTTTTGTCACTGCTCTGTTGAGCCAGGTTGTGACAACACAAACAGGATATTTTCCTGCACAGCCGCCCTTCTCTCTTCCTTGTATTTGGTTTCGATCTGCGGCCCTCCTCTTTATGTTCTTAAGATCAAATTTCAAGCAGTAAGACATTTTGTGACGTCACAGGAAGTCGCTCTGTGTTATTTTATTGCTAAACCAGCAGGAGCCGCTCTGTGTGCCCTGTGGGCCGGCGTGTGGCTGTGAGCTGCCACAACAACAACATGGCTGTGTGAAGATGCTTAAATGATGTTTCTGGTTAAAGAAAAGACAGTCTTATTGCAGCTGAGTCATTTATCATAAACATATAGTGAGGGAAAATATAATATATAGTTTTTTTAAGAATCACTGCAAAAAAACTAAGCAAGAGAGAGATCATTGTCGATAAATATTAACTTAAAAACAGCCATATTTCTATTATCTTTGTTGATTTGTTGCTTAAAACTCACATGTACGTAGATGTTTAGGAATATGTTAACAAGGCTAACTCATACTGTTAAACTATTTGAAAATCTTCAGTATATAGGACCACAGATGTGTCATGTATCACACAAGACAAAAACAATCAGATTACTGAACTGAACTCTAGCTTCTTTTTTTTTTACTGTGAAATAAGTGGTTAAAATACCTTCAGAATAAAAGTTTTAAACTTTTTGTTTTTTAATATTGCTTGTAATGAAGTCATTGGTCAAAGTTTCTAAGTTTTTGCTACATTTATGTTTTTTTATTAATGCAAAGCATGTACATTGAATAGAAGACTCAAATACATTCACTTGTATTTTATTTTTGTTACGTTTTTACCAGGTATGTACAAATGAGGTTATTCTCGTATTCAAGGGACACTTGACCTAAGCAGAGGAAGAAACAAGTCAAAGTTATATTTTAATTCCGTCCACCATGCTCAGACTTCATTTTAAGCTACTTGTGCTAAAATATTTGAGGGGCATCTACTTTAACCTCATCTCAGGACGTTAAAATGATTTTCTTGAACTTGTCTTTGCATGTCCAGTACTGTTATCATCATTCCTTTCACTCAACAAATCAGTTTCTATACACGGGGTCACTCCCACAGGTTTCAGAGAAAACAGTGAGTGTATGAGTTACAAATATTCTCTAAACATTTCACAATATCATTCTAATAAATCATTGAAATATGAAGACTCAAAGGTATTGGATATGTCACATAAGAGTATAGCTTAATGATAACTGAAACAAACTCTTGTACGTTTTGCACAACAACTCTGTCTTTTTGATCTTGCAACCCCCTCTGATGCGTCTTGTGACACATTTGAAGGGCACCAAACCTCAGGCTGGGAACCATTAATCTAGTGAATGTCAAAACAGTTGATTACCTCACATCTTTCAAATCTTTTGCCTCCGGGTAACCCTTCCGCCCTCTTCCATTTCTCCCTTGCCCGCTCGCTCGTTCACTCTCAGGGAAGCCCTAAGCTCTATTTAGACGTGTAATCCTGCAGGATCAGTCACTTGATTATAAGCTGCTTCCTTTCACTTGTTCACTCTGTGTCACTGTCATCCTCTCGTTCTGTCTGCTGCGCCATTTAATCCAGTGGATTTCTTTTCAATTCATTTTGGGTTATTTTAGTTCAGTAAAATCCCACAAGTCAGAGGAGATGTGTGTCTGTGTTCAGCTCTTTAGACCTTTCACATTTTTACCTCTGACCTTTATCCGACCTTCACAAGGTATTATGCAGCCTTAAAGTCACTTCAGTATGTTAATCTGAAAGATAATTTATCCGTTCCTTTTGAGCCGCTTGTTAAACTTATTGCTGTCATGTCTGCTGCCAGAAGATCGCAGAAAAGCTCTAAAACCAGACAAACATGCGCAGACTTCACCTTTTGTCCTCTATGATTCCTACAACAGAGGGATACATGGATTTTTTTTTTTCCATTTTTTTTTTGGGGGGGGGACTATTATGGTTTTTGTTATTTGAGCTCAGATTTTGGTCTTCTGTGACTTTCAATCAATTGATGTCATAGATTTTGGTGTATTTATAGCTCAGATGCTTTAAAAAAAAAAAAAAAAAGGTCCAGGATCAGATTGAACCAAGCCGCAACATCTAGTGTTCTCTCCTTATTCCCACGCTATCCACTGTCCTGTCCCTCTAATGATTGCATAAAAAGCCCCACAATTATTCTTTATATAAATTACTATTACAAATACCTGTTTATATTACATAAATAATCATGTTTTTTAGCCTGGACTTAAAACATGTTTTCAGTCTTAATAGCTAATATTTTTATCAGCACACTTTACGGTGGTGGTGTTTTTTTTTTTTTTTGTACAACTCATCAATTTTGATTGAATGAAGGATCAGAGTTATTCATAATGAGGCACATGACTGACCTGACAAATAACACAAAAAATGTAAAACCTGCGTCAGCTCCAGCTCTTTGCAGGTTGCCAGGTTGACCGAAAGAATAGAAAAAAAAACTATTTTAAATCCCTTGGCTTTTAGAGAAAGGTGTGGCGATCATTTAAGATGCATTCTAGAGAGTCGTGAAATGTAAACGCTGATTGACTTCTGTGACAAAGCGTGCAGCAGCCAATTTGAAGACAAAATACAAACAGTCACATCTAGTGAGTCATTTCAGGAGTAGCGTAATTAAGTTATATCTACCCTTATGTTAGGGAAAGTGTTGTTGGTGTTTGTCATCGCCCAATTTCAAACAAACCCTCAGGATAATCAGGACATAAAACGTCCACATTTGTACACAGTTGGATTTTCATGAAGGACATGAAATGATGTAAAACACCTTTCCAAGTTTACTCGTCTCTACAGGCCTGTATTGACTAAACTGTCAGTCCTGTTGTTATTTGCTTCACACACATCAAACGTGATCCTGACACACATATCAGACCCCCTGTAAACGCACATATCTCACCCTGCTGTTGCTTCCCTTGTGATTAAATAAATCTTGAATTATTCATAAGTAAAAAAGATTTTTTTTTAAGCACCTAATGATATTATGAGCTCATTTCCTAATAGCTTGTGACCTTTCAGTACAGGGCGCAGGGTGTGTTTAGAGGAGGTTTGAACCTGACATTTGAGACAGGGAGTGGCCCAAAAGAGGTGGCCTCTGGGTAATGAGGTCTCGCTGAGAGGAAGCAGACTTTATGACCTTCATGTGGTCTTTTTCCCACCGCTGTATGTATTCTTAAGACAAAATGACCAATAAACCCACAATCTACAGGTCTACTTATGTGTGTATAGAAGATGTTTATTGTAAGGTTGGTCTGAAGTTGTGTACTGACAGGAAACAACCGATTGTACAATGCATCTCCTAAAAACAAGCACAGCAGGTCCATTCAAACTAATTGGCAGCAATGCTCAGCAGGATGAAAGGTGCTAATTGGGTATTTCTCTGTGAGGCAGATACCTTCACTGACCTCAGTTTTTATTACAACACTAATGTCATCAGTGAGAGGCAATAAGCACAAAGCAGAGGATACATGAAGGCTGATTTACACAGTGACTGATATTGTAAAGCTTCTTTTTTACTTGATCATTTTAAAAACTCATCCTGCCCGTCTGCCGATTAATAGCCTTCCGATCATCAATATTTACTACTTAACCTAATATACAGTAGTTGTTTAGTAACATCGAGACACGTTGTTTTTGGTTCATTATTTGACTTTCAGACACACAACTGTGACATAGAACCACCAGAAAGAGTGTAACACGTTTCCGTTGGGGTTGTTTCAGTCTCTTCAAGTTATTCTCTTTTAGGCTTTCAAATGTAATTTCAATGTTACAAAAACTTTTGATTGGATCCTAAGTTACTATGATTTGCTTTTTGTGTTGTTCATTTCAGTATTTAGTCTAATTGACTGGAAACAACCAGAATAAACATTGTGCCTTTAAATATTGTGGAACTTTGAATTTCTGAATCTGAATGGATGTCATGCATTCATTTTTTTAACCAAATCTTATCTTTTAAAGTTTAGCAGGATTATGTTGTTTTATTTTATTATCATATTTTGAATACATTTTCCTATACTGAGACTGTAGCAACATTTCATTCTTGTAACACACTTACTTTAACAAAGGGACCTGAGTATTGTATTATTCTCTGCACAAGTGTTAAAATGATAATATGTGCTCATAAGAATAAGGTGCAGCCTAAATCTGTGTAGGCTATACATTTTGCTTGAAATGACCTTTATGTTCACGTGTGCTCATGATAGGCCTACATTAGGCTATCTGACCTGTGCCATATAAAGAGAGCGAAGCTGATGAACTGATCTTTACGCAGAATCAGGACCTCTCTCTCTCTCTCTCTCTCTCTCTCTCTCTCTCTCTCACTCTCTCAGTGGTCACATGTAAACTTCCCCGCGCGCTTGTCGCCCATCGGAAGTGCCACACTGATTTGTGCCGTGTGTCCATCAGGATCAGCTCTCAGTGTGAGGACACTTGAGGAATGGCCTCTGAACGGGATGAAACCAACACCACCAGTAACCACACAAACCAGTTCGTGCAGCCCGCGTGGCGCATCGCCCTGTGGTCGGTGCTGTACAGCACTGTGCTCGCTGTGGCGGTTTTCGGAAACTTGATCGTGATTTGGATCATCCTGGCTCACAAGCGGATGAGAACTGTCACAAACTATTTCTTGCTGAACTTGGCTTTCTCCGATGCGTCCATGGCTGCGTTCAACACCCTCATCAACTTCATCTACGCTGCGCACGGAGAGTGGTACTTTGGAGAAGTCTACTGCAGGTTCACAACTTCTTCCCTGTCACCGCGGTGTTCGCCAGCATCTACTGCATGGCAGCGATAGCTATAGACAGGTATGAAGAGGAATATATAAATCAATGTGTTTTATTGATGCTTAGTGTCTGTGTGACTATTTGCCAACGAGAAATACCAAAGTTTATGTTCAATATACCTTTAATTCATTATCTTTTTCATTTGGCTGACTAAACATTTAGGTTATAAGCCTACACACACAAAACCTCCGACAAAAGTTGTAGGGGTCAGCATAAAAAGGATTTGTGATTCAAGATCGCATACATTAAGTCGGTGTGATTCAAATCTTTATTGTCATTTTAGAAAACAACGAAGCATCTGCATTACCAGTGCAGGACAAAGACACAAGCAGCAGCTTAGGAATAGGACAGATAAGACAAGAACATTCAGGTAGAATACAATATGTAAGCTATCAGAAGAACAAAAGAGGTATCAAACAATACATTGTTGATACACTTTAACATACTGCAATGCAATCAATTATTTTTTGTGTTATTTTACTGTAAATCTTGGATTCAGATGTAAACTAGAATATTTGAAGCAAACACGTTATTCTAAAGAATCTTATTGCCCGTTTTTGTTACTTTTTTCGACTGGGTTTGTAGGTCTTCAGTGTCAAGTTACCTCTGTAACAGCTCATAGCATTATGACTATTACAATAATCTCTCTTTAATGTACTCATCATTGTTCCTCATGACTTAATAGGTCTCTTGAGTGCTTTCAGGTGTGACACTTAAACCGTTGACTCGTTTTTTATTTTATTTTTTTTAAACAGCTTTGAACTTCTTTACTTGATGATCATCTGAGAAATAGAGAGTGAGACCTATTCTGCAAAATCCAGCTGAGATAATAACAAAGTTTTCTATCGAGTTTGTTCGATTTTTCCAAAGTGCAGCTTCATTTTGAAGTTAGTTTTTTTTTTTTTTTTTTTTTTACCAAAGTAAAGCAATCGGTCAGGCTCATGGTGTGGTGGCTGACCTGCAGGTACATGGCCATCATCCATCCCCTGAAGCCTCGTCTGTCGGCGAAGGCCACCACAGGAGTCATCGTGTGTATCTGGAGTCTGGCCGTGGTTCTGGCCTTCCCTCTCTGCTACTTCTCCACCATCCGAACGCTGCCCCGCAGGACCCTCTGCTACGTGGCCTGGCCCCGCATGGCAGACGACTCTTTCATGTGAGAACCAATGTGTTTAACTCCAGACGTGTCATTGTTGCTCATACCTCTCTTCATGCTACTTGTCATTTAAACAATTCAGTCCTGTGATGTGTTTTGCAGGTATCATATCATTGTGACGGTTCTGGTCTACGTGCTGCCCCTGGTGGTGATGGGCATCACTTACACCATCGTGGGGGTGACTCTGTGGGGAGGGGAGATCCCAGGAGACTCGTCTGAAAACTACCATGGACAGCTCCGGGCTAAACGGAAGGTAAACAGCACATTTAAGTTCAGCACTTTTTTTTTTTACTCAAGTTTGATTTAAGGAGAAGTACACAAGCATAGTTTTTTAACCACATAATGTACAAACGCTTTAGCCTCAAATAATGTGAACAGTTTTCTTTTCAAATCCTAAATGAGTCAGTATGATCATTCGTTTCTACTTCCCTGGTGATCTGCTAAGACAAGTTTGACTTTTCAAAGGACAGCATTTGAGTATAAGTGTAATAAAACCACTCTCTGAGTCTTACAAATGTAATTTCATGGGTTCAGACTTTAAAATAAAAATAAGAAAAATTGGAGATATTTTTTTGCCATTGCCTTGTATTTTGTTGTTTCATTTTAAGAGTTATTTCACTTGGGGGGGGCTTAGGGGAACTACTAACCACTTCATCAGTGAGTGAAAAAAAAAATTTACCGAAAGAAATGTTAAATGTTGAATCTTTGTCGGCAGATTAAGAACTCAGGGTCAACATTGGAAAGTGTCTGCACGTTGAGAGCCTGTAAAAAAGAAAAAAAAAGAAACAGCACCAATTCTACAGAAAAGATCAGCCTCAATTTTTTAAAATGCTGCGAAAGCTTTAAGATCCAAAGATCGTCTGTGGTGTTGCAGAAAATGAAGACATTGTAGCCAGATTATCAAACACATTCTTACCGTGTTAATACAAAAAAACAAAGAAACTTCTGATATCCTCTTATTAGGGAATAATCTCCTTGGAACAGTTACACATCGGTCCACATGGTCAGCGTGATCTGTGCCAGCCGGGGAGGAATCACAACACAATACAATCAGCTTTGCAGTGTGACAGAATACTTTGGACCACTTACACTGGAAACCTGTGAAAGGTATCACGCAGAGCTGTTCAGTCCATTAGTGCTCCCTCCACGAGCTGAAACACAGAACAGATAAAGGACTGTAGTATGTACAGGTTCTGGTAATATCTCCTTTTGTAACGTGTTATCTAATCGCAGACTGCGGCCTCAGAAGAGTAAAGTGTCCACAGAGACTTGTTCCTCTTATGTTCCACGTCATCGCTCAGACTGCTCAGTCAGCCCCACAGCAGCGACTGCGAGGGTCTCCGCGGTTAAACTGGGATTAAGGTCATCACAGATGTAATGACGAGAGTCTATCACGAACGCCATGGATCAACGCTAAAGAATTCAATTTAGTGATAAAACATCACAAATACGGCATGTTAACATGTCGGATTAGTCAGAGAGAGTGAGGGGGTTGAAGGTTGGAGGTATTCAGTGATAAAAAAAAAAAAAAAAAAGAAGATGTTTGGAATGAAATTTTAAAAACACATTTGGCAAATCATTTCCTAAAAAGTGATTCAATGGTCTAAATCTACAGACAGAATAATGTTTGATGCGAAATAAAAAAGAAACTTTAAGGTTTGACTTAAATTTCCCGGCAGACTTGATATTTTTTGGTCCCACAAACACACTAATTCACACACAACGCTCACACGCTGTGCACAGAAATAGAGACTGATGCATAGGTGACAGGTGCAGATCTGCCATTTACAATCTTTTGGAGAACTTTATTGAAAAGATTCATCAGACGCACAGATTGCTGGAATAATTGAGCTGTGAGAGATGAAAGAGATTTCATAAATGTCAGGAAACAAAGCTACAAGACAATGTCATGCCTGATTCAAAGGCCCACGCTGACTAAATGCCATCTGGGCCTGAGATAAGAGGAAGTCGTTCTCATTTCCGTCCTCCAGATGAGCTTCTGTCGAGGCTTTAACAGACGGCTGCTCCTTTTAACCCCCCACAGCTCGGCAATTTGCTGATGGCTTCTGTGTCGCTCTCTCAGCCGTTTCACCTGGAACTTGCTGCGTCCGCTGCGTCATCACTGACATTTTCTTTCCTTCCCACGGCAGCCATTCTGGACCTGTTTAATGGAAAAACCAAAGTCAACAGAATGGGGGAAACAGGGACACTCACTACTTCAACACAATGTGGATAAAAAGAGCTATTATTGCTTTAAACATTCAAAATCACAGTAACATCAAAGTAAAATATGTTTTGCCTCCCTTACTGGATGTTTGTACAGGTGAGGAGATGTCACACAGTTCAGTGAATCGTTTTGTAAAACTATTAAACAACCAGACTTTATTTCATTTCATTTTTCCGCATAGTCAAAACACACAACATTCACAGAAAGTGATCCACCATTTTATCCCAAACGTGTTTTATTGTCCACAATTGTATCCCATCCGTGTTCGATAAAGGAGCAGGGAGAAGAATAAGTCTTATTTCGCCTGCCCCTCACTCAAAGAGAAAACAAGAGAACTCCAGATGGTCTGTCCAATTAAAATCACTCGGCAACCATTATCACAGCAACATAAACAAATCTGACAATTCAAAGTCTTTGACTTCACTTCCACATAAATGACGTGGAAAAAACACACTAGCTGCCAATTTCATAAATGTCCAACAATCCTCTATTTGTTCATTTTCTTAAACTAAAATATGTTCACACAGCTCTTCAAATCATTTTTTAAAGAATTTCACAGTTTGATCCCAACAACGGAAAAAGGCTAAACATCTGTTTAAAGTTGTCCGTGCAAACTGATGCTTAATCTTAAATATTCTCCTTTGTTCTTCATCCTCTTAACTTAAACTCATCTTTTGCAGATTTTCTGGTAAAACTCTGCTTTTTGCTCTGAATGTAACCACTAGTGTCTGTAAATCAACTAAATCCAGATCTCAATATCACAATGAACCATGTCCAAACTGTGCAGTGCAAACCTATGTTGTGTTTCAGAACCTCTCAGCGCATTGTTCGCTCTTACAGCCTGAAAGTTGTTAACACTATAGTCCATACCAACGTGTTCACTACATACAACATTTTCTTTAATGTGTAGTTGCACTCACACGGTCCTGTAATAATATGAGCACTTCTACTTTCTCTTGCAGGTGGTGAAGATGATGATCATCGTGGTGGTGACCTTTGCCCTCTGCTGGCTGCCTTATCACGTTTACTTCATCGTGACGGGTCTCAACAAGAGTCTAAACAAGTGGAAGTACATCCAGCAGGTTTACCTGTCAGTGCTGTGGCTGGCCATGAGCTCCACCATGTACAACCCCATCATCTACTGCTGCCTCAACAGCAGGTGAGTACAAGCAAGCTTCCTGAACAACACAAAACATTTATGTATATTCTGGTTACACTCAGAATCAAACTCACATTTTTGGCTGCAGGTTCCGTGCTGGCTTTAAGCGTGCGTTCCGCTGGTGTCCCTTTGTGCATGTCTCTTCCTACGATGAGCTTGAGCTTCAAAACACGAGACTTCGACCCGGGAACCAGAGCAGCATGTGCACCCTCTCCCGAGTCGACACCAGCATCCTCAGCAAAGACAAGAGTCTCTGTTCCCGTGGAAACAGGTCAAGACTCAACTCTGAGCCTAACAATAAAAACAGTTAGCTCTCAGTCCACACAACACTTTTAAAGTTTTTTTTTTTTTAACCATTACGAGAAATGCTGACAGGATTGTTTTTTTGTGCTTTAAAAAGCCGATAAATGGGTGTGGTTCAAATGTTTGAATTTGTCATATTACCACAGAGATAATCAGACCAGGAGGGGGAGCTGGAGAGTTGGCTCAATCTTGCCCTGGGTTTTAATAAGAGGTTGATGCGGTTGTTTCAACGGGATTGTTGTATTGTTTTTGCAGTTTGGCCTGTTGATGTGAGTCATGCATCAACAAATGTGACACACAGCCTACACAGGAAATACGGTGCTCTAACTCCAGTCTGAACACAAAGACATAACATGTTTTAGAGTCTGTGATTTTGACCAGCTAAATACCTGCTGAGAAATGTAAGAAAACAACGTTGCAACTGCCAAACTCACAAGATATATCTGTACATCCAATTACAACTTTTAGTCCAGCAACTCCTGAAGACTGTTTGTGGTCCAAATGTTCCTTAATGTGAAATAATAGGCTGAGTAATGAATCAGTTTCCAATTTAGCAAAAAAGAAAAAAACATATTGAAACGTAATCCAATTTGCTAAATAATAAAAGCGTGTTTGTCTCCCTGTTCTGTTATTAGTGACAAATAATCTGATATCTTTAGACTTTGATGCCTTTCATTTATTTATAGGGTTTATTTCAAGGTGCCATTTTTTTTAAAGGAAAGAATCCTGCACAAACATACACGGCATGACCAATTTACAAAAAAAGAAATCAAATGAACGTGAGAACATTTTGGTCCCTCTGAACACACTCGACAAAGTTCAGAGAGACCGAAACGTCGTGAGTCTTTCCAATAAATTGGTGATGCCGAGCAAGAAAAGCGTGCAGGAATTTCTATTTTCAAAGTGATAGTTTGATGTAATTCGCACCTACTTCATAAGAGAGTTGGCTGAGTTTAATGTTTTAAATGCGGTTTTTCACGTGCAATATTTTTTGGGGGAACTTTTTGTGTCTTTAGCTGCATCCTCAGGAGGTTCGTTAGTTTCGAGTTTCCAGCTTGAGGCTAGACGTTTTTGCAAAATTCCCATAAAAGTAATTTCAGCTAATGAGGCAGGTATTTGAATGATGATTGTTTTTGTATTGTAGTTTCACAGAAGAGTGTTTAGTGTTTCTTCAATGAATCGGTCATTCAAAACACAATAACTGCTTTAATGGATGTTACACGTGTGCGTGTTCTTTGCTTTCCTGGATTTGTTTCATTTTGACTGTGATGAAGTTAAAACTTGTGACGCTTTGGTTTTATATATAAGAAATTCAAGCATTTTAAATGACCTAACTATTAAATAACATCTCTCTTAAATATATTTCTGATTTATATTCATTTAGATATTTTTGTGTCAACAGAAAAAAAGCACAAATACTCCATGTCTGACTGAGCTCATTGTGAATCAACCATTCTTATTTATATATTTATTTATTATTTTGGGACATTTCCACATGATACATGGTGGGCTAAACTAAAGACTTTAAGCTGCTTTTGACATTTTTGTTGAATATTACGTGTTGTAGTTATATAACATGATGAAATACTGTGGTCATATATTTAATGCTGGTATGATTCTCCTTATCCAGCTTTAATGCTCTTAAATCTCTTTATAGGACAGTGATAATATATTATTCTGTCTGTTGAATTTATGAGAGAATGTAATTTCACAAGTGCTTACAGTAGCTAGTTAGGGACACAAAGTGCCATGTATAACTGTCTGTTTATAAGAGTTACTGTTTACTGCTCAGTATGATCCTTTACATGTACACAGGTGAGGAAAAGTCCACACACAGGCGCCAATATTAAGAAATTTGAAGTCAGTAAATGTTTTATTGTTGTTTTATGATGTAAAAATACAATAAAAACTCTCTTTGTGAGATCATCCACTGTGGGATCTGTAATCTATCAGAAGACATTTACATGTGTTGCTGTGCAGGACGGCCAGCAACAACACTGTTTTCAGTCCTTCTCAGAATCTGATGGGATTTATTCTTTTTCTAAATCTCGATAGGCCTGTACTTAGAAATGGATTTTTTTTATATTTTACATTTGATGAATTGACAGGATTTATCAGTGTTTTATATGCCGAGCAGCAGCATCTAAACTCATGATCTGTTGTTGCAGTGGACAGGCATCTGTAGCATTCCTGTAACCCTGTTTAAGTTAAAAAAAATAATATAATATATATATATATAATGATAACTTAAACAGTTGATTCAAGAAGTGCTGGTGATCATTAATTTCCTTTTAACTCATTAATCTGCAATCTTAATTCAAATCTGCACTGGTAGAGTTACAGTACAGTTTATAGAACATGCTAGAGTTCAGCTTTGGGTCTCTCCAAGCCAGCCTGCTTTTAAATGTTACCAAACTCACTGTCATCAATGGAAACATTTAAACCTAAGACGTGGAATAATCGGAAAGCTGTTTTAAGCAGAGTGGGTGTTGACAGACATGTTTTGCACAGATGAGGCCATTTTAAATAAATAGATAATCACATTTAGGATTTTGGCTGTCCCCTCTAGCGAACTCAGCGTCAGCGACGTCCGTTAGGATACATGCTGATGATTACTTTTTCTGATGTGCTGTCTTCACACCGTGTGCTCTGATATACAGGAACTTAACCCACCCACTGCCAAAAAAGGTTGACTCCCAGAAATGTACTTAACACAGCAAAACAAGAAACACAGAGGGCAGACACATTTTCAATTTCCAAGGGGACTCTAGATGTTCTCGATGTTCTAGATGTGAATTTCATGTGTAAAATGATTCCAGTTTACTGACATATCTCGGGGTCAGCATCTAAAAGTTAGCTGACTGGGATCAATCTTAATAGTTTGTTTGGACTTCACAGGTAGAAAACTGATAGGGTAATTAGTAATGGAGGGGGATTAAAAGTCATGAAGCAAGAGATACAGTTACAGTTCAAGCAGTTTATTTCTTCATATATTCTTAAAGCTCAGCTCATGTGAGCTGATGTGATCAGCTGAAAGTCTCATATTTCTGCAGTTAAAATACAGACAACCTTATTTATTTACACTCATTTTCTGTCATTCTTTTGAGGTAAATTATAAGAAGAGCATACAATACCCCTTTAAGTAACCAGATTTAAAAAATGACTGTTTTTCATATAGGACTATGTTGATATATTTTGCTTCAGCCTATATTGAATATTGTAAAAAGCAGTTTGATTACATATGTATGCAGGAGAGAAGAGCAAGCAGCACGTCGGTCTGCAGTTGTTCATTGTTGAAATGTACTAACACAGCAGTGCTTTTTATTGTAATAAGACTCAGAGCAGCCCAAGATCCTGATTGAACAGTTCTAGGCTAAAAAAGAGGAGTCAAAACCACAAGTACCAACACGAGCCACTGAGCAGAAACATCAGCTGGAGACCTGGAGAGATGGACATGGAGACAGAGAGAGATTAGAGATTGAGCGAGGAAGGGGGGGGGGGGGCGAGAGAGAGAGAGAGAGAGAGAAAGAGAGAGAGAGAGAGAGAGAGACGTGAATATCTTAATGAATTATATAAACTCATTACACCTTGAAGTTCTTCATTCGTAACTTGCCTACAAGAAGATGATTTTTTTCTTCTTATGCTAGAAAAGTTTTATTTCTCACTAGAGATTTCTGTATTTCTGGCCTCTTCTTACTAAGTGGGCGGGGCTAAACTGAAAACAGATAGTGTTATCTACTTGGTAGCACCTTTTAGGAGTTGGCAACATGTCAATCAAAAATGTTGCAGCTGTTTGCCGTCTGCAACATTACTCAAACCATACTCATAATTTACACGTGTCTGCCTACAGACTACTAGGCCTACTGTACTTTGACATTTTAAGTTTGATTCATTCCCTGAAGTGAGAGAAGGTGAACTGATCTGCATTCGTCAGTGCAGCACCTGTATGCATTTTTCTGCCTGGTCCTGGTCAACAACATCATATCCCATAGAAAGTTTCTGTTATATTTTAACTTGATGTCAAATTAACTGGACTTCTTTCTTTGTCGTCTTGTCTCTTGTTCCTCCATGTTGGGTTTAAATACAAAGAACCAATCAAATGTTAGAAAGCCAGGAGGAGAACAAGCAATCTTTTGGCATCTGTGTTGCCTTTGCCTAGCAACAGTGCTCCCACAAGAATACCACTTGAATGCCAAGCCTTCCCTTTAGGACTTCACAGCATGATTTCAAGACTTTACAAGTGCCAGTTGAAGGCCAAGATCTGCGTCCCCAGCAACAGTTTGCTCTTTTTAGTAACGGCCTGTTATTTTAACAGTGGCCTGCTATTAAGGGATAGCAGACAGTTGCTATGTGTATTTTGCCAATCAGGCTTAAGTATTAAACACAGTAAAATAGATAATAAAGCTGGGTATACTGTAGAGCCTGGCTGCCAGTTATAGACACTTTGCTAGTTGTAGAGACGTATCATTATTGTCGATTTGATTCAAATATGTTTCTCCAGGGTGGCCAAATTGTAAGTCATCAAATAGCTTCAAAGAGGGAGTAATAAACCAACGGGTCGTTGTTAATTAACATAAAAGCTGCAAATGGAGCCAAAGTTTGTTTTCATTTATACAAATCTTTTGGATACGCATCATGTGACCCATAGAGCAAACCTAGTTGTGTTTTCTAAAGATGAACATTCATTATTCCTAAGAAAAATAACTTTTTTTAAAGGATTTTATTGATAAATGCTTTTGAACAGTTCCATTAAAAGGAACTCTTTCCATTGTAATCAGATGCTGAAATAGTCCTTTTGGATCCAATAGACCCGGAAGTTGTAATTGCAGCTTGGAATTTATTTCAAATAGCCTCAAGAGATTGACACATTTCCTGTTGGCCATTTGCAGAAGATTGCAAACCACTTTTAAGGACCGAAAAAATGCAACTATGCTGCATTTGTACACTGAAAAAACAAACACTCGTTAGCTTTGTTGATGAGTGATAACTTTTTTACCCAAACAAAGAGTGTTTATTGTTGCTTATTTTGTCATTGCTTATATCTGAGACCAGGTTTTCAGGGGGTTTCGTTATGTACTGCAGGCTTGGATCTAAAAGGGCTATTGTGAGTGAAGAGCATTTCGAATTTACATGTTAAAATGAGTGAACTTTGCAATGATTTTAAACATCTGGTTGCAGAGATTTCTCCTGTGGTTAAAGAAATGCGGTGTTTTCCACTCCATTCAAAAACTAAAGAAATATCAACTTTAAATTTCAAGCACATAACAGTTAGTAATCCTTTAAATAGATCATGTTAATAAGATATTCTGAGTCTTACCTTGAGAAAATGTAACAGTTGTGCGAGCTGTCGAGTTTTGGTTTTTCCAGAACGATCTCAGTGTATTTTTCGTCATTGACTTTGTCATTTACTTCATTCACATTCTTCACAATGAACACTTCAGCTGGAGATAACAGTACCATATCTGAATCCTCCTCAAATCCGCAAACAGTCTCGCCCAGGTTAACAGAGAAGCAAGAGGTAATGTTAAAAAAGACTAGCCCGTGCGGATCAGTGTTTTCGAAGCTCTTCGAAACTCTGGTGAACCCTCCAAATCTCACCTCAGAGCCGACTTCTGCTGAGATTTTTTCTTCTGTGATAAAGTACACAGTCCTACACTTCTTCTCGTTCAGATTTTGTACAAGCTTCAATGAATCCATGAGCAGGAAGTGAAGAGACTTGAAATGGAAGGAGTTTTCATACGTGCTAGCGTTTACACCCATCGTCTTCACAGCCTCATTAAAGGTCTTTGTAAATTTTGCGTCTCCATTTGCCATAATTGAAAGTGCAGTAGTGTGCTCTCTAGTTCCTCCAGAAATCAGCTTTGAACACCCGTTATTTTCACTCCATGCTTTCTTGAATCTCTCATCACGCTCCAGCTCTTGTGTTAACAGCTCTGAATTGATTAACTTCTCCATTGCCTCTTCTCGGCATCCTTTGTACATGTCATCTACAGCATCAGGGGCCCGGTCCAGTAGGCTTACTTTTTTGCTCTCTGCTGTCTCCTTTGAAAAGAAATAGAGTTTGAAACTTCATTTAAAAATTCAGAGGATGTGTGCCAATCAATCTTAACACAACAACAAGTCTTGGATGATTCTTTGTGAGAGAAATAATACTCACTTTGAAGGTGAGAACTGTGAAAATGAACGCAGCAAGAAGCAGTTTTCTTGTAGCCCACATTTTAAAAGAGTCTTCTTGTCTCTTGTCTGCACACGAATGGCTGAAAAAGAAATTAATACTTTGAAAAAGTTTGCAGGATCAAACTTGATTAACAGCCCATGACTCTATCGTTGAGAAATGGGATGAGCTGGCTTGTTGCTCCAATACTTTGTTTAGACAAGCCCTCTACAGTTATCAGCATGCCGCCCTTCCACACAGATAAGCACATGTGATTTAGAGTTTAACTGAAAAGCAAATGTTGAAAAAGCTTATAGGAACCTACCTTCACCAGGAATGATTACTCTCTGGGAGCAACTGAAAAATGAAGTGATACACAAAACTGCAGGGTGTGATCTTCTGCAGTCATTAGAAGTGGAAAACCTTATCTCAGCAAGCAAGTCGTTTTTGTCTTTCCTGAGGAAGGAAATATCCCGGGAGCACTGGTTTGTTCTCTACAAGCTTCTGTGTTACTCTAGAAAGCTTCTGATTTTTCACTGGAGTTTGTTTGGCTTCAAACTATGTATTTATTTAATTAAGATTCTAACATACATAAGGATAAAATAAAATACAAATCTGTTCCAAAAGGGCCAAAATGAGGATAATCTATTATAGGAAATTTAAAGTGGGCTATTATTTAGCTTTGATTGTTAAATGACAAGAGAAACACACTTAGGCCTATATCAAAACGTTTGATTTACCATTATTATTATTATTTTAAAGATTTATTTGGGCTTTTTCGTGCCTTTAATTCAGAGAGAGGACAATGGATAGAGTCGGAAACCAGGGAGAGAGGGCGGGGAATGACATGCGGAGGGGGGCCACGGGTGGAAGTGAACTTGGGCCTACCGCTCGAGATGAGTCTCAACACATGGGACGCGCGCCCCGGCCACTGCGCCACCAGCGGGCCCCAATTATGATTTACCATTATTAATTTGTTAGGTTACTCCCTATAGTTGATTAGTTACTGTTATGAATTAACCAGCCAAGATTTAATTCACTATAAAATAAACGATTACTTTGAAGTTTCCTGTAATTGAGAAAAAAATCTCTGGTGTTAAAGAATATTAAATTTAACATTGAAAGGCAAATATGTAACATTTTTCTTTGATGCCCCTCCCTACTCAAGTGGAGGAAATTATTACAAGGGCTGTATGTGTCTTCTTCATGTGCCATGTTATCATTTATGTATACCTGTGTACCAACTGTGCAAAGCTGTGACAACAAATCTCCCCCTGGCGGACAATAAAGTATTGTATTGAATGTAAGGGCAGCTTCAGAGGCCTGAGCCCTGACCTTTGAGTAAAAGTCACACTAAACCAAAGTATTAAACACTGTTATATTTTAATACTTAGCTGGTCACTTAAAAATAATTTAATAATTCAAGCACTACATGCATCAATGGAGCATGAATCAAGCTGAGGAAAAACCATTCCAATGCATTTTTCAATTCAACATTGCTTAGTCTTTTTGTCCAAAACTGTACCTAATTGTCACCATATCCTGAGGGGTCTCAGTCTCTTACATCAGATGAGCAACAATGCAAAATGCTGTCAAGTATTGTAGAGAATGACAACAATCAAAGCTTAATGTACCAAAAGACTTAAAAACCAAAAAAAAAAAAAAAACATAACCTAAAACTACAACATAATCTATGTTAAGGACGTACATTAATTAATGTCCATTTGGCTAAAGCTTGGTGTACAAATAAGGGATCAGATTTGGTTGCCAATGTCCATTAATCTATATCAGGAAGTAATGTTGAGGTCAGATTTAGGGTGCAATGATAGGGGTCAACAGAAATCTCTGAGGTTTCATTGACCTTAAAATCAGCATATTTGTCTGATGACTGTATACTGTGTTGTTTTCTTGAGGTCAGACTGAGGGTGTAATAGGAAGTCTACAGAAAACATCACTATTGTTTGAGAATATCTAATCCTCTGATAGGATATTCAAACTGGATGAGGCTTTAGTATAAAGTCAGTTTATTGGTAGGAATAATTAGCTGAATTGTGACTTTAATGTCAGAATTCAGATTCCTTTTTTCTTTTCTTTTTTTGCGCGCGTGTGTCCATGAAACTATTTTCAAACCAAAGCGACTGTTGTAACTATTTTCTATTTTACAACTCTTCAGCTCTTCAGTAGTTTATTTTTTTTATTGTTTAAAAAACCCTAAGCCTAAAAGACAATTACAACACAAGACACACAAACTCTACATCTATATGTACAATTATATACATAGGGGTATATTGGTAAAACATAGGGGTATAGGGGTAAAAAACTAAACTAAAACTAAAACAGAAAAGCAGGGATGTAACAATTTTTCACAAAAATCCAGAGTTTGGTTTGCCTTTTTGTCTTTCAGTCCATGTAGCGTTATAGCTCTTCAGTATTTTTTTTTTTTTCTTATTTTAATAACTCAATCTTCTTTATTTTTCAAACATGTTTTTTTTCAAACAGAAACAATTACTCCTCACATGATATAAAATGTTACATTCATCTCTTCAGTATTTTTTATTTTATTTTACTTTTTTTTTTACAACTTTATTGTAAACACAGACAATGTTACAATGTTAGATTTAAGAACAAACTAACATGCCAGGGGTTGACAAAGACTAAGACAAGTAAAAACAAAGGGAAGGGTAGAAATGGAAGGGTCATCAGTTTACACTATTAAAATAAATACAATATTCAAGAGTCTTCAGGGCCTTGGGGTTCTCAGAGTGCTGGATGGTTTTTATGTACTGCCCCAGCTCATTAAAATAATGTTTGAAAATAGGTTTTCTGTTTGCAAATTTACTTTTATGGATATAAAATTTAGCCAAAATGATAAAAAGATTAATAACATGGTACTGTTTTAGTTCCGAGTTGAAGAATTCAAAACCAAAAAGCACATCTTTGTATAATAAATTAAAGTTTTTAAGAATTGTACTTCAAATATATCCAACCAAATTTTTCCAAAAAAACAACAGTCGAGGGACAACTCCAAAACAGGTGTCTTGGTGTTTCGCTAACAAGTCCACAAAAAGAGCAGGTAACATCAATGTGTTTTTTCATTCTTTGTAAATAATGTTTTGTGGGATAACACCGATTAATCAATTTAAAACAGACATCACGAGGTTTGTTTGTGATCAAGTATCTGGAGGATAGGGTCGAAACTTTTTCCCACTGGATATTTGGGACAAATCTTCTCCAGTAGTGGATCACATATGGAACAGTAATGTCTTTCTTGAACAGTGATCTTACCTTCTTGTTCCTGGTTGAAGGAATAGAAAAGAAACACATGTTCCCTTCTATGGTTTCATTCAATGAGAATGAGCAAGGGGACACACAAAGATCAGTATGACTTTTGAACAACATTATTAAACCTTTGGGAATTGCATCCATTACAATAGAAAATTCTCTTGGGGTGACAGGGACATGATAGGTAGACAGGAACTAATTCATCAAAAGCCCTTCTGAATTAAATAACTGTTTTACAAAAATAATATTATTAACAAACCAATTTTGAAAAAATAAAGTTTTGTTCTTGAACAAGATATCACAATTGTTCCAAGTGAGGTATTTGTGTGGAAAGAAACCGTGTTTATAAATGAGTGACCAAGCTAAGAGCATTTGTTTGTGGAACATGGCTAATTTAATTGGTATTTTTTCCATATTATAGTTACATTTGAGCACAAAAGATAGACCACCAAGTTTAGAAAAAATGTATTTTGGGATAAAGTTCCAGATTGATTCAGGGTTGCATAGAAATCTTCTGATCCAGTTGATTTTAAAAGTGTAGTTTAAAGTTGTAAAGTCCAAAAGGTTCAGACCCCCAGAGATAATGTCATTATTACAGAATTTCTGATATAGTGAGTTTTTTTTTTTTTTTTCAAACAAATTCTAAAAACATCCTATCAATAGACTTATGCACAGACGGATCAACATTCAGGGCAAGAGCAGCATATGTCAATCTGGAGATACCTTCTGCTTTTGTTAATAAAGTTCTTACTCTTAAAGTCAGATCTCTCAGAAGCCACACATTAAATCTTTTTTGAGCTTTATCGACGATGGGGTTAAAGTTCAAACTGCAACGATCATCTTCATTTTTAGTTATTGTAATACCTAAATACGTTACTTGGGATTTTACAGGAATGTCAAAAAGCACTGTATGTTTACACATAGACAGTGTAGTAGCTCACACTTATTTATATTTAAACTCAGTCCTGATGCTGCAGAAAATGTTTGAACGAGTTTAGTGGCAACTGGAAAGTGGTCTGAATTATTTAAAAACAGTGTAGTATCATCAGCCACCTGACTTATGGTAATTTGTCTGTCAGCAAGAGAAATGCATTGGATGTTACTTTAAAGAATGAATGTGGAAAGGAGTTGGGCTGCAAGCAAAAATGAATAGGGAGAAACAGGGCAACTTTGATGAACGTGAGAAGAACTAATCTGACATTATTAGCAATATGTCTGTTTGACATAAAACCAGACTGTGATTCGTCGATTATAGAGGATAAAGATTTCTTAATCCTTTTGGCAAGAATAAGAGCCAGAATCTTGTAATCATTGTTTAGCAAACAGACTTTGTGTTTGTGTAGGTGGTAATATTCCCTGTTCGATACTTTCTGAGAAGACATTAAAGATAAATGGTGCCAGTTCTTTTGAGAATTTCTTATAAAATTCAGCGCTGAGTCCGTCATTGCCCGGAGATTTATTGTTTTTAAGGTTCACAGTGGCACCCAACACTTCCTCAGAAGTTATATTGCTGTCACAGAGTGTTTGATCATTTTCAGAAATGATCTTAAAAATTTTAATATACAGTCTAAGAGTTCAGAGGTCTTTTCTTCTGAGCAATGTGAAGTATAGTGTTTGCTGTAAAAGTCTGAACAAAAGGAGGCAATCATTTTGCTGTCAGTGACAAGCTTACTATTGATTTTTAATGCATCTACTGACGACTTTTTAAGTTTTGATTTTTCTAACCATTATAAATAAGAAGAGCATTGCTCGCCTTCTTCCATCCACTTCATTCTTGACCTCACAAAAGCCCCTTGGACTTTCCTTCTATAGATGTCACCTAAATTGTTCTGACATTCACTGAGTTGCAGTAGTTCTTCCTCTGTGAGATTTCACTGGCTCTGCAGTAGCCTGTATGACGTTTTCAGACCGGAAAAGGTTGTACTTCCGGTTCCAGACGCGCCAAATAACATAACAAGTCGGAAGTTTCGGTGTTTACATTTATCATCCGACATACTTTCCTCAAGTACAGTAGATACTAAACGTTAGTATCGCGGTTATTTCACCTACTGGACTTCTTTCCCCCCCAAGTTTTAACACCGCTGGTGAGTACTGTCAAAGCTGGGGCAAGAAAATGGGAATCCTGC